AGATTGAAACTAAATATTTTTTTGTTTCGAAGTTGAAATCAAGGTATATTCACTGCCAAAAGTCAGTTAAAAATCTTCCATATTATTCGTTATTTCTTATTTTATTCAAAGTTTTTGGTCGAATTCCAAATTTTCTCTCAAACCGTATACTTTTTTTTTTTTAGTGTAGATAGTATTTATTTACCTCATGATATGGTGCAAGACCTAATTAATCACGAATTTCTAATTTTATGTACTCTTGTCTCCGATTGTACCTCCCAAACATCCTTAAGCCATGTTTTCTTACAAACAATAACATAACATGACTCCAATACGCGCAATTTAAAGCGTTTGAGAAGAGTTACGGTTTGCTCAAAAGATTTTGGCGCCATGTTGGTACTTCTCTAGATGTTTTGGGCAGGAACGTCCCTAGAAAAAATTTCGCCCAGGGTATAGCTCGATTCTAGGGTAATTTAGGTAATTTTGTTGTGGATTTTCCTTTACATAATTAATTGACAGTAATTGATCAGTAAATACAAAGTAAGTAGGTACAAATGACCATTCACATTTCCCCTAAAAGTTTCTGAAACGTTATAAATTATTTACTTCAAGTAAAATAGTTGATGTACAAGGAACGTAATGTGTATTGTTTAAGTGTGATTTTCGTAAAAGTAAAGTTGTAGAAAGTAATTTGGGTTATCTATCAGTAAATGTGTATTCAGTTATTTATTGTTGACTGAAAACATTACAAAAGTGTAATTGAAGAAAACAATTTCTGTGTTTATTAACTTCTACACGCGGCTAACTACACGGGTGCTAAACGATTTTGAATTTTCTTTTGTTCAGGACTACGGTGATATAATATATTTTCAATTTATTCCAACCCTACTCCATTTAATTGTAAAAGAGCTTTTTCTAATATAATTGCTTGAAAGGTTTAACCGTGTAAGTTATTTCTTAATTTCTTTTAAACAAATTGAATTCCAGCAAGTTATAGTGTCCTAGAAGGATATTGTAGCTGAAATCGATGTGCTTATGTGATGATCGAGGGTATATATTAGAGGCGACCGTTATGAATTTCCCTAAAAATAGAACGTTTTAGGGAAAGTTTAAAAAGCACTTATCCGACCGCTGACAGTTTTAACATGCAATTTTTGAAATATGCTTTTGGCAGGTTTATTTTGGTATTTTAAGTGCCCGATCGATTGATATATAAAGCGTAAACTAAGCGCACCGTTGAAACGTTTCCTTACTTGTTAAATTCACGCTCTTTACAGGACTGACGGATTTATAACGAAATCCTGTTCGTACGGCCAATAAAATATGACAAACTCTTTTCACTTTTCTAATTATATTAAGACAAATGGGTACTTTTTTCGAGAAGCAGCAGGCCAAACACAAAGAATACTTCTCGTTAAAGGATTGATGTAGAGTTAAATGGTGTTTAAGGGTGACTAATGGTTAGAAAATTGTGATCTTAAAAAAAATTGAGCCTTGAGGTTTGCACAAAAATAACATTTGATTTTAGAAAATACTACAAATGGCGCAGTAAACGCCATCTGTAGCACGATGCTACATAAAACGCACGGATAAGACAGCAGGTAAAAGTTGGTCTGTGTTCTGTCGGAGCTGCATGCGACGCGTTGATGACAGAATACAGAATACTTCGAATTATTTTATAATATTTGATTATTTACGAATGTGACATCCTGGTCTTAAAACTCAAAAAATGTAATTTTGGACTTTTTTAAAAGCATTTTACTATGTGAAGTAAAAAGAGGGTAGAGTCCTTTTGTCGTTACATAAGAATCTGGCTTTAGAATTGTCCCAACACATTCAAGATATTGCAGATTTGTTTGATTTTCCGATTAAGAAATTTCGTAATTTTGATGGGCTGAAAAAATTCTAATTGGGCGATAAAAGATAACACGGAAGTAGTTACTGTCTTGGTTATTTTATGCTTCTACTTCAAGTAGATGTCGTAATGGCCAATACGCAACGTAAAATGTGTGGACAGTGGACATCCAGCATCGGATACCCTTACCAATTTGTCCCAAGTTTGATTTTATTATGAAAAGTTATAGGTACGGTGGTTTTCAAAGAGCTTTTTGTTCTCTTGTTGAGTTTTGGAATAAGGGAATAGAGTCTTCCATCCCATCTGTCAGAATAGGGATAATGTGGTTGGTACCTAATCATGTTCATGTAGGGGCTAAGAAATAAATTCTTTTCTAAGATTGGTTTCGTTAGATGGAAAAGAAAATGATCAAATGATATAAAATAAGTGTATAAAGAAATGGGCAACTGGAAGAGATGTGGTATCAAAAGAGGGAGACCCATTTATACCTTTGAACATGACCGTTTTTGGTCCCTATCGAGACTTTTATCGGATGTTATCGGTATACACACAGTAGCCGCAGCTAATTGCTCGTGGAGAACAGCACAACAGGAAGGGAAACGTCTCATCTTTGACCGTCATTAACCAGAAACAATGGAAGAATCGTCTGATGATCGATAAGTGTCATTACAAGAAAATATTGCGGCAGGTACAGTGCTTTCATCCGGTACCTTGTAGTGGTGACGTGTCAATACATCAGCAGGACCGAGTTGACATGTGACTGATCGACGTAGACGTCGATATTTGACGCTGACTCGACCGCCGTGCACTCGGGAGTTGAAGACTACCGGCTTTGATGCTTTGGGACACTTGACACCGATATCTGTTACTTTTCAAGATGAAGAAGTATCGACGACAGAAACGTAGGCGCTCGTCGCATCGGGAGCATCAGATTCATGATTCCCGATAACTTTGTTTTAGTTTGGCTATCTACTTTGACTTTTTTGACTAATGAGGATCAGTGGATTTGACGAAACCCTCCTGCCGTTGATGATGTAGTGGTGCGATAAGTTTGAAATTCTTTTTCACTGAGTTATCGACTTGATTCTTTTCTTTTTTTTTTTCAATTAACAGCAGCTTCTAAAAGATTTGATTTGATAAAATCTAACACGGATTATTTTAGGTAGGTGCTCCATAAAATATTCTTAAAGTAAGTGCAGTGAAAATGATTGAATAAATTAGATTTAATTGAGGAATTGGCAACTTCAAGAGGATCTGCTATTAAGCCTGTTATACTTAAATCATAAAATACCTCTTCAATGTCGAATCGATGAATTCATTTGAGTTGTTCTTTACAATGAATGATCTGCATCGAAATAAAAAGTTATTAAAGATCTTGCCCGGCGCCTTCACCATTTTTACTCTACTTAATTACAACTGCTGGGGTAACTAACAATTTTTTTAACGACTTTAATAATTTAAATAGCTCTTAATCCTCAAGTGATGTTGAAATACCCAATACATTTATACATATATAAATGGGGTCGTTCATTTCTTTCCCGATCCTTTATAGGATCCATGAGAATCTAGGATAACATTAGTTCACGATGTAGGAAAATAATAACTGAGTGAGCAAGTTTTTTGGCGTAACTTTTACTGATTTGGCATACAAAGGATTTAATATTTAAATTTAAAAACATGTATGGGATTCTATTCTGCTTTTTAAGGATTACGCTACATATCAGTTTCGTATGATGCACCTACCTGAACTTGGCCGATCTGAGTATCTCGTGCAATAAACCCACGCGGGCCACAATGTGGGCACCTTTCCATCATCACCTTTGGCGGTCTCTTCGGTCGTTGCAGTGGCGGAAAACGCGCTTTTCACGACCGAATTCTTTGGTTTAGCTGTCGTTTGATCTGCATCGCTAAAATTCTTCTCTATTTGTGATACAGTTTGACGCAGGCTTCCTAAGGGAGCGTTATTGGTCGTGGTGATGGTTTTATCAGCTGCTACAGTCGATACAGTCTTACTATCTTCGTAGGGCTTGTACGCAACGGGTTTCTTTCTTAGTACGGCACTCTTTCCGAAATCAGGACGAAGTATGTTGCTGATTGAATATTTTAAAGTTCGAACCGAAGGTAGTTGATCGTCATCACAGTCGGAGTTATCATTTCTAATGTCACTTAAACTGTCCTCACTAACAACTAGTTCTTTTTGGGATGGTGTGGTGGAGGGTGACTTTTGGAAGGTTTCCGATTTCACCTGATGGTGACTCGAAGCGTTTCTGGTGGATGATGATGGTGACGGTAGGGACGTTTGTACAATATTTGAATCTTCATCTTGCTTGACACTCGACAGAGCAAAGGAAGCTATTCTAAAGAAAGTGGGCTTGTCATAATTAATTACGGTGCCGGTGGGTGGTGATATTATTTCTTCTTTTAAAATTGCTGATGATATGGTGGTACACGTGTACTGAACCGTCCTGGACGATTCTGGTGAGTTTGGTGAATCCAAGTTGCAGGAAGTACTGCTAGTATTTGAATTGGGGCTGCATGCCGTATTAGGACTTGATCTGTCTTCGAATGCCATCGTCTTCTTTCGTTGAGATTCTTTGGAAAAGTTTAGATAACGATTTCTGGCATTTTCGACAATTAGGGGTTGCACAAACAACTCTTTTTGAAATAATGAAATGACGGATGGATGTAAAGTTCAATAGTCCAATTTTTTTTTATTTTGACTGGAACACATGAACACACCTGAGAAGAAGAGGAAGGATCTTTCTATGTATTGAGTACACACTTTGCCAAAGCAAGGACTAAATATGCGGCTGATCAAGTGCTTACTTCGGTAAGTACCTTGTCAAACTGAGTAAGATTTCAAAATAGTCATCTTTATTACTTGAAGTGCAAAGCATGGCTCCGCCTTCTTGGTACGCACTCAACAACCTCCTCTCTCTCTCTAATCTCTCAGACCACACAGAAAGCTCTACCGTCTCTCTCCGAAGGCTGCTTCGATCAATAACACCGCGGAATCTGTCCTTATTCTTTCATGGAACTCGACAACAAATGTCAGGAAAAATATTTACAATTTAACCAATGAGGATCATTAATATCTGCTGATTCTCATAATTTCAATCGTGGAAAATAACTCTTGCAAACACTTAGAACAGTAGCGGGCCCGTTATTGCACCCTGTGGAACATCAAATTGCATTTGACATACGTAATCCGGCTCGCTCGCATGGTAGTATTGGATTCGATTAATTGCTCATGACCAACTAGTGGGCCTATTATTGACACAATTTTTTTTAATTTCTCTCATTCTGTTCGTTGTCTCTACTTAGGTCTCACTCGAGTTGGCATTGTGCCAGAGTGGGCGGCACTTTGTTCGATACGATGCCATTGGTTCGCTTTTGAAGGTGGGATATAAGGGCAGATTGAGACGTTAATGTGTTTGTTTTTGTTGATTGGGGCGGAGTCTGAAGTACGGACCTGTTATAATTCAATAACATCAGAAAGTGGCATGTGAATCAAGCGCAGGTAATGATTTTATCAGTGTTAATATGATTGACATATAAAGAAGATAATTCCCCTACCATCCGCTGTTTTATTCCAAATTTAACTAACGAATTTTATTTACAAAAGCATACATGTAGGTACGTAATCACCGTTTCGAAATTAGTGTACTTTTTGTTCAGTCCGGTCCTCATCACTTCAAAGCTTGTAGGCTTTTATCAGATTTGATTAGCTTTAGATCTGTTATTACTAGTTTCCAAGAACCTTAGGTTTTCTGAAAGTCACAGCATAGGGTTGATACTAATAGAGATCAGGAGTTGGAAAATCGTTTGTCAGAATTGAGATAAGAAAAATTAGACAAAATTACATCACGAGCAATCAATCCAAATGGGCATTATAAAATGAGTAAACAATCTCATATCCTGAAAAAATTGGATTTCCGGATTCTAGCCGTGCCTTATTGATGAAATCTCCATGACCGATCATGGTGATGTTATAAGTGTTCGATATTTCGTGTGCTATCATAAAGGAGAACTTCACGAACTTCGGGTTGTCGATGTAGGATCTCTAACGCTGTTGTTGAACTGTTCAGAGGTCCTCTCTCAGTCATCTATCAGCGTTTTATAACATGACTAATGCATAATTTGTCGTATTTTACACTATTCACGCTTAAATGCGAACCGCTACGTTGAAGATTTTGTGGAGCAATCTTTACCAAAACTGAGAACCACAGCAATGACGAAGAAGTTGTTCTCATGGCTGCGATGAAGTGTAAGTGAGTCTTATTAACGTGGGTACTGATGGGTAACTAAACAGAGAAACAATAATATTTTCAGTTATAGAAAGAACCAAGGTTAATAGGCAAACGTATTTATATTGTGATACCTAATTTACATTTATTTCACAGTTTTAGACTTAATAATTATTAGGCACAAAAAAACACAAATCTACAACACATGTTATCAATATAATATAGCGCGGATGGAATAAGATGTCATCTACCTGTAGGTAGCAAATTGATCTTTTTTATCAGTCATATTCTGATGAGGAACAACGCCTTCGACATTTTTATTAGATCGAATTGAAACAGTGCCCGAGATATTTCAATCCGTTCTTTCGACTGGAATACTTGCTACAAGTTGAGCCCAAGGCAAGGCTCCCAGTCCGAATGCGAGACACAATAGCCACTGGTTAAACGTCAACCTTTCGGTCCAAAGTACATGTCCACCGAAGTGAACTATCATCACTTGCCCAATCAATGTGGCGATCCATATGCAACAAAACGTAGGATTTCGATGGACGCCCTCAAAAACGTTCCTCTCACCGTGAACTTTTCTTGCGTTCACTTCATTGAAGAGCGTCATCAAAACGAAAGTATTAAAAACGATTGTGAAATGTTTAGTTGGATGCTTTCGGATCCCTGCCTGAAACCCCGATTTTATTTTCAACATTTTATCGCCGTAGAACATGAGGAAGAGCGTCACTCCAAGCTGGTAGATGCCCTGACCCACAATGTTCCTCCACATAATCGTGGAAATTAACGCTTTCGTCCTGCCGTACGGTTTTCTTTCAAGCAGTTTCATTGTTGGGTGGTCGGATGCTAGAGCCATACTGGCCAGAGTGTCCATTATCAAATTGATCCACAATAACTGAACAGCCACCAAGGGCACGGCCACTTTGAACGCACCAATGGTAGCCACTATGACGGTGACAAAATTTACGGTCAGTTGGAGCTGAAGGAACTTGCTGACGCTGTCGTACACGTTTCGACCCCACATGACGGCCTTTACGATGCTGTTGAAGTTGTCGTCTGTTATAATAATGTCCGATGCAATTTTGGCAACGTCGGTTCCCGAAATCCCCATTGCGAAACCCACGTCAGCCATTTTGAGTGCTGGGGCATCGTTGGTACCATCACCGGTCACCGCAACGACCTCTCTCTGCTCGCTGACTTTGCTGTCTATAATCCCTTTGACCAGGGTGTATTTGTCGACCGGAGATGATCGCGCAAGAACTCTAAGTTTCGGCCACGTTTCGTCAAATAGATCTTGCGAAAAAGTGCCGTTTGGTTTCCTAATTCGCTTGTTGAATTCTTTGCCCTCGAGAACCAGGTAATCGTCATCGGCAGTTATGATGCCGCATTTGGTGGCTATCGTTCGGGCCGTATTGATGTTGTCCCCTGTTAACATAATGACCGTTATGCCGGCATTCTGACAGGTCTTGATCGCGAGTGGAACTTCATCGCGCACTGGATCTTCTATACCGAATATTCCCAAACAAGTCAGCTGCTTTAAAACGCTTGATTCATCTTTCCAGTCTTGTTGACCTTCCAATTCACGATAGGCCACGCAAAGGATTCGCAAGCCGTCATTCGCCATCGGCTCGATTACGTTCTCCAGAAGAAACTTATGATCTTTGTTTTCCAAAGATTTGAGTCTGCCTTTCTCGTCAAAGATTGAACCGCATCTACAGAAAAATGAAATTCTATTGAAATTAGCTATTTTCGACCGAAGAAATAAATAAAATTGTACCTATATACTTTTTTTTTGAGGAGTTCTATTCATCATCATCATACCTTTCTAAAATGATTTCTGATGCTCCTTTGGTGTACACCCTGTACCGATCTGGACCAGTTTCGATAATGGTGCTCATCGATTTCCTGACGGAATTGAACGTGTAAACCTTGACGAACGTTTCTTCCGGATATTGGTCTCTTATGGCGTCGTAACTCTCCCCCAGAGCTAATACAACATCCAAGAGGGCGCACTCAGTTTTATTTCCTTCTTGTTTCGGTAATTCCTTTGGTTTGACAGAAGGCACAATTTGCGAAGTGTAATTCGTATTTATAGAAATACTTTTAGATATTAAATCGATAACGTTAGCGGTCAGATCTGAAGGTTTCGGTGGTATCCTCTTGTAATGGCGACCGTTGATATAAGAGTGGACAACGGTCATACGATTAGTGGTCAAGGTGCCCGTTTTGTCAGTGCAAATGACGGTGGCATTGCCCATTGTTTCACAGGCGTCGAGGTGTCGGACAAGATTGTTGTCGTCCATCATCTTTTTAACACTGTGCGCTAAGGCTATCGTTACTGCCAACGGAAGTCCTTCAGGAAGGGTTACGACCAGAACGGTGATTCCGATGGTAAAAAAGTCAACATAATATTTCAGATAAATCGAGTCCCATTTTTTCTTTTCGATCGCGAATGTTTGTATCGAAAAGCGGATTATAAGTACTAAAATGATTAACGTTGCAATTCCTATCGCTATGAAACCGATTAGTATTGCGAGTTTTGTTAATTTAACTTGAAGTACCGATCTTCCTGTACCGATTACCATGTCTTCTTCTGACGGTGTTTTTGATGAGGACGGCTCGTCTTGTGGAGCACGTCCTTCGTGACTGTTGTTCTCGGTTGCATTCCGTTCTCTCAGTTTCGCTCTCTTTGTCGCTGCTTGGCTCTCGTACCGGCGAGTTCTTTTGAACCATTTTTGTTTCGATCTTGCGTCTGCTTGAAGCAGCAGAATTATTTCGCCGTTTTGGGTGTAGGCACCAACGGCTACGGTCAACATTTTTCCCGATCCTTCCATGACGTATGTGCCGGCCAGTAACATGGGGTCGTGGTTCAAGTCTTTGACCACCGGATCTGACTCCCCCGTAAGCGACGATTCGTCCACTTTCAAATCGTTGGCCTGGAGCACAATGCCATCGGCCGGTAACAGATCTCCGTATTTGATCTGACACACGTCTCCTACAACAATGTCTTTGACCGAAATTTGACACACGTCTCCGTTTCGGACAACGGCGAAGTTATGAAGTGATTCGATTCGGTTTTGTAAACGTTGAAATTGACGCTCTTTGGAGTAGTTGTTGTACGAAGCGACTAGTACTACAACAAATACTGAAACTAAAATCACGGCTCCTTCTATCCAACCGTATTCCGAAGTTTCGTGTTCGTTGTCTGCAGGTTTGTAAAACGATATCGCCAGCGATATCGTTGCCGCTACCGTCAGAATTATTATAGTTACATCTTTGAATGATTCGCAGAACATTGTCATGAATCGTTTTGGTTTGTTTGGAGGTATGTAATTTACACCAAAGGCATGTTGTCTACTTTTTAACTCCGTTGGGGTACCTTCGATTCCGTCCCAAGAATCGGTTCTTAGTTTCTTGCAAATTTCTGAGATGCCTCCCATTTCTTTCATCTTTTGTACACCTTCCTCGCCGCGGAATTCCATCAGATACTTCAACTCTCTCGGGCTTAATTCATACCTGTGAATTGGTTCTGAAAAAGGAAGAAATTTTTTGTGCTGTTTAAATCAACGAAAGTAGAATTAGCGATGCGAGTACCTTGAAGCCTAGAAGGCATTTAATATTTTCAACAGCGTCATATACTACCATTACGTGTATAGGAAATCGGTCGAATTGGAAGCATTTAAAATTTGAGCATGCTAAGGGCCTTATACTTTTGAGTTTTGGATTTCGTTAATTAAAAACTGACATTCAAAATGTCATTTGACAGTTGATCACGTTTCTCATTTCTTGTATCTACACAAATGTGAAGTGTCAGAAACAAAATGTTTTTATTACAAATCCCGTAGGAGCTTCAAACTTACGTATAGCTACACTGAATACTAACTTTCTGCGACAAACTTTCGTCTGGGTGCTACTTCCTTATTGGTCCGGTCCTTGTCCTTGTCCTTGTCTTTTCTTCCTGTAACCTCTTCAATTAGGATTAAAAAGAAGTACAGTATAATTAAAAAAGAGCGCTCTTCCGTACCAATAAAATTCTATTCGTTATTCTTCGTATTTTATATATTAATGGAAAAATTAAAAACTATAAACTGGTCCCCACTTTCAAAATATATAAATGATTTTAATGACTTCTGGTTTACCGATAAATGGCTGTGTGTTACGGTAGAAGTTAATCATAATAACGGCAGGAAAAGACAGCACCAACGAAGTTTTCACTCTAAATAGAATTTGTTAACTTCTCTAGCTGTTTTTTTTTTCCTTTTTTAGTTGCTTTTATCTCACGTATGTTTACTATTGAGTAATAAAAGTAGAATAGGAAAATCGGTCATATCTCTTATCGACTTGTTTAGTTTAGAGGACACTGTTGTTGTTTCTTTTCCCTCAATTTTTAGATAACTTTCCGAAAAACAAGTTAGAAGTAGCTGTGACATGAAGAGTAATATTAGTGAGCGTAACAATATCGGTTTTTGTTTATTTAACTGACAACGTGGCTATTTGCATTTCGAATTAACGCATAGAGAAAAACCGAAGAGCGCTTTTAACAAGTTAACGAGATTTCAGTTTGTACAACTCAAGTCAGAGTTTCTCCTCGGTGTCGGTGACAATAAAAAAACACGCAGGGGACCCCTTTTATTTCATTGTTTTCTGCTCCGGTGCTTTTCAAAACACACCTATAGACGATGCATATATATTTACCCGAAAATGTCAATATTCCGATTTTCAACGCCTCGCAAAATTCACCTTGCCTTTACAGTCGACCAGGTGGTTAGAATCGGCCAGTGGTTTTACAACGTTTCGACGAATTGTCTGTAACAATCACCTTTCAAGAGGAAGTAAAATATTTTGTCTTATTTTGACAGTGTCGTATTTGTTGGGATGTGCATGACCAAATTCCTGTCCATCTGTTTTCAGCATTTAATTTGAAAGCATCCAGTCTTGGAATTCGTGGGGTACGACAGGTACATTCGGGACATTGTATTGCCGATCTTTAGCAAATGAACCAGAAACTGTTAGTTTTTATTTCTGTTTGAAAGGGTTGCTTGTATCTACAGATATATAGTATACCTGCCCGAAATTGCCTTCTTCATGCGAACGTTATTTCGAGACTAATGTACCGAAAAACAAACAAAATAAACTGTTGATTAAAACTCCTAAATGCGCTTTGCAGCATAAAGCTAAGTAATTGTGTTAAACTACAATAACCTACCATCATGACTGCAACATTTTGTGAATGATTTTAAACATTGACAAAATGATAAAATATATATAACAACGAACTTCAATACTTCGCCTATATATGCAAATTTAAACCAAAAATTTTCTAATTTTCCACCCCCAGATGAGGAATATTTTCTTCAAATTTAAATGGTATCATCATTGAGATATGACCTACATAATAATAAAGGAATCATTAATCATCTGTTAACAATCGGCGAAGAAATCGTGTACAAAATATACAGTCAAATTGAAATCGGTCGAAAATATTTATAAAAAAAGCTCTAATAAGCTACATTCCCAGATATGACTTTTCTTTTAGATAAAAGCAAAAGCTTTAGTCGTTCGGTCGTCATTGTTCTTCAAACAGTAGTTATATCATTTTTTATTATTTATGACTGCAATAGACCAAAAGATTCCACAGAGTTGCCAGTCATTACTTTTTTCTGAGTAACAAAATTGGTAGGATAGAGTAGGTAGTGTTAGTATGAGCTTTGAACGTATGCATATACCTGTTAACTTGAAACTTGAACGGTGGGCCAATTCGTAGATATCAGATGCTAAAGGTACGTAAAAACATTACACAATTTTCTTAAAGCTTGAGTGCTGATTTTTACATAATGTAAAGCGGTAATTCCTGTCAGATGCTTCAAAGTTCGCAAATAAATCGTAATTTTACTTATAGTGCCTGCCCGACTAACAATTTGGCTTAGGTTTTTATAAGGTCCTAGTGAGGACAACTGAGTTCCTTACTCGGTCCGAATGAGGTAATTCACGAAGGCCCTAGTCGGGAAATAACGCACTTTCAAGTTAGGCCCTGAGCAGGAAAGCCTGATTTAAGGAACTAATAGGGACAGTATGTGGACCAAATTAGAAACTTATAAGGAACTAATAGGGACATTATATAAACCAAATTAGGAACTCGATGAAAAACACTATTCAATAATTATTCAGGTATGCCTAATTTAAAAATCCTTAAAAATAAATATATTAAAATCATATATGTATATGTGGCGAATACAAAAACTAGAAAACGTACAATTTTGTATATATATTTTTGTATATTAATTTTTCATATTTTTGTACATGTGTAAATATTGTAAACCTTTCGCTTCTTATCTTGTGCATGCCTTTGTTTCTTTTCAAACTAAATTCTATTGTTTCGCTATCGCTATCTTTACCTAGAATTTCATCGTCTTCGATACCTATTTAACAACCCTTATTAATAGCTGGCTTTCCCTCGCTTACTTTTTCTTCGAATTCTATTCTATTCAATTTCAACTAGTCTGTACATGTTCTGTTAATACTTTTCCTTCTAGAATGTTCTCCCTCTATTTACTAACAATCCTGTTGTATAANGAGGCAAATGTTTGGAGCTCCTTATTCTAGCCTCATATTGATAAAGTTTTTGAAATGAGGAGTCCCAAAAACTTGCCTCAGTTCAGAAATACTTTTAATTTTCCTGACAATTACATAATTCAAAAGTGTTCAGGCATACCCGATTTCGACTATCCTAATAAGTTCCTCATTAGGTAATAATTTGGCTTTCCTGAATTCTGGTAAACCTCATTCAGACCTTATCTGGACCTAAGTTACTTTAGGGCATGCCCGACTACCATTGCTAGTCGGGTTAGTCTTCTCATTTTTAAATATGATACTGGGGAACCATTTCAATACTTTTTGTAAACAGCCAGACCAATTATTATAGGGGCTAAACATCCCCTAGATACGATTAAAATCTCGCTGTGAGTATAAGCGCAAGCGCGATAATTACATGCCTTTATAATGCAGCGACATTTAAATTGTATCTGGGGATGTTTAACCTCTACAATTAGTCTAGCTGCTTACAAAAACTATTAAAATAGTTCCTCAAGTATCATATTTAAAAATGAGAAGACTCAGACTATATGTAAAATTACTATTTTTTTTTGCGAGCTTTGAAGGGTCTGGCGGGAATTACCGCTTACGGGGGTATCTGGCAGTGTTGATTATTCATTTTTAACAATATTCTGTGAAATAGTATGTAAAAATCAACACTCAGACTTTGAGAAAAGTGAGTAATGTTTTTATGTACCTTTAAGTTTAGGGCTGGGATCTTGCTCTACAACTTTACATGCAATTCTTCCCCTATATTTATTGTTGAAACATTTTATTAAATATGATGTAAAAAATTTAGGAAATGGCAATTACGGTAGATTATAGTCACGTTTTCTGTGGAATAATATGATAATTGTAATATTCTCACATTGATTGAATTTTATTACGATTTGCTCAAACAGTTGCTACAGTCTCTTTCTTTTAATATGTCTCTCACTGATACTGCGTCAATAGCATCGACACATTAGCTGTGTATGGTCTTTTTGTCTTCTTTTTCATGACCTCTCGGAACATCTAAAATAAATTTTTCTTACAACTATTTTAAGTGTTCATATGCAAGAAACGGTATTGTTTTTAGATTTTTTTTATTTATTTAGCGATGAGAATGACTTTTACCATTGGACACTGCGTTTCATTTGCAAAAAGCTTCATTTGTAAAACGTCTATATCATGTTCGCGTGCGATTCATTTAAGTTTGCGATAGCGCCTTTGTAAGAAGCTTGCAGACGACGATTTAATTTATTTTCGAAAGCCACACCTTGCCAACACCTCGTCATTGTCTCGACGCATAAATATGTAACCAAATGATCAATCTTCCGATACGTCAAAAGCCCGGGCCCTTTCCCCCCCCCCATATAATTAATGATGTAACACCACATTGTTTCCTACGTAAACGAAACAAATAAAGTGGATATCGGCCACGAAAATCTTCCTTTAGAATAATGGGTTTGGGGTGGCTGATGCGCAGAAACAAACTATTCTTTCTTAACGTGCGTCTTCTCACTCTCCACCTTAATAAAAACCCCCGACAAATCGTGCCACGCAACAATCGCCCACATCTTTTATATATCTTATCCTTTTGTTTCAATATAATCAACTCTTATTGTTCGTAAAATCATCGACTAAGGCAGTATTTACGGATAAATGGATCTTATATCAGTTAGATATATTGATACCGACGTTATACAATTTTTTTTGTGAAAAAAGAAGNTTAAATATATTTAAATACAAAAATAATATAGACGACGGTGGATATAAGATCATTCATCATCTTCATCAGAGGATTTGTTTTCATCTACCTTCCTCTGATGTTTCTCTTCATTGGTATTTTTTTTTTGACTTTTTGGCTTTTGAAAAAAATCATTTTCTTACGTAACACTGAGCAGCACGTGTGTGTTTCAATCGAATGAATAACAAGCTATAACTTGTCATAATACCATTGAGCATGATATGATTATATTTTGAATCATGTATATATATATATATATATAATAGTGTTGGGAAAATTGAAGGTATTCTGTAATTGAGGCAAATGTTTGGAGCTCCTTATTCTAGCCTCATATTGATAAAGTTTTTGAAATGAGGAGTCCCAAAAACTTGCCTCAGTTCAGAAATACTTTTAATTTTCCTGACAATTACATAATTCAAAAGTGTTCAGGCATACCCGATTTCGACTATCCTAATAAGTTCCTCATTAGGTAATAATTTGGCTTTCCTGAATTCTGGTAAACCTCATTCAGACCTTATCTGGACCTAAGTTACTTTAGGGCATGCCCGACTACCATTGCTAGTCGGGTTAGTCTTCTCATTTTTAAATATGATACTGGGGAACCATTTCAATACTTTTTGTAA